TGTTTTGCATTTTCGAAAATATAATGCCTATACAGCAGTTACACTGGTGCTTCTCAACTGGTGCTTTCAATCCTTTGCTGCTTTCGTTAGTCCATTTTAAGTTCACATTCAAAAAAAGAAAAAGAAATTAGAAATTGCGCTGCGACGGGATACACACGTGTGCATTTGTCCGCCAGAATAACTCAATTCCCAGTCTATGAAAGCTAGAATGCTCAAATTCGTTTTCCTAAGCAAAGCAAGACTAGGAAAGTATTACAACTTGCTCTGCCACGGATACGATGGAAAGTATAACTTGCTCCGTACGCAGTTCCCCTTCACATTTATGGGAACTTCACCACACTACCGGTTCCTATCCCACAATTCCTTTTGTACACCCGTTTTTCATAGATCTTGTTTTCCACATTCAGAAATGGCTGCTCAGTTTTGATGAGAATCTAAAACGCACGACCGGAGGGGCAGACTTTTCAAAAAACGTCGAAGCTGAAAATATGTAGCTCAAAAGAGAACGATATGAGGAGCGCGTCTCAGCGTCTGCAGTAGTGTCACATAGATCTGTCATGCAATCATTTGGTAATCTTGGTGAGATGCTGTAATTAAATTTGTTTAGGCTGAATGAAATATCGAAAACACTAAGATCTTACGTGCTTTAGAAAAAACTCGGCAACTTTTTTTTTTAAACGAAGTATGATGAAAGTAATGCTTATGTGTAACAAGTTGTACAGGTATTCATGGTAAACTGGCAGAGGAGGAAAAGTCTCGAAAGACTCATCAGCCTTTGCCACGCACCGCAGGCTTCAGCTGGTGTCCAGCACAACAATAAGCCGGTCCGGGCAGTGACCAGCCTTGCTCTTACTGCCTCTGCGTTTCTGTTGATTGGCGGAGTGGCGCTTCTTATCCACTATTTTGGATTTCACAAAACACTTCTACCGAAAAAAATTTTTCACGTAAGCTGGACTTTTTTAAACCGATTACTGCATATTCTGTACAGTTGTCTAAAAGAATTCCGTTGTGCAATAAGTGATTTGCAACTTGGAAATTTACTGGTGTGATTTGCAGGCTTTCGGTGAATCCCTGGAAGCTATAGCAATATTTGTCTTTCTCTATACAAATCTCATCTGGATCATCTGCATGGCTGCTTTTGTAAGCACCACAATGTATGCCAGTAGTGAATTCGCATATTTGAATAAGAAACTCAAGCAGGTCATTTTTTTGCACTTTTGCATCAATTTGCGCCTCCCTGGTTGGTGTATTTGTTCGGATAATTCAACTCTGAATCTGCACATACTGGAAAATTACATCTGAGGAGTAATGTCCTTGATCAAATACACAAAAAAGTCCGAAATTAACAAATTTCAAATTTCTTTGCGTTCTGGACGCATAAAAGCTCATCTCCACTATGGTTATTGAAATACTTGAGCCAATGTTTCTGATGGGATACGATAAATAATCTAGATGGAAGAAGCCACGCACAATCAAATATACGGGAAATTGCTCGGCTTCTTTGATACACATCGCGAACTGGCACGCTCCGTTCGCCTCATCAATCACACGTTCAGCGTAAGTTCCACCTTTTTCCCATTTCCACGTGACTGTCCAGCATGGGCACACACCATTTTGATGACCACTGCCCGGCCATGTTTGATGACCACTGACTTACTAGCGATGGCCAGCCAGTTTTCGGATTTGCAGTTTTTTCTCTTCTTAGTTGTCGGTGAACCCGAAGTGCGATATGCGCTTCAGATTAGGCGCTTTGGCCAACTGACTAGCATTTTCGGCCATTATTACGCATTTTAAGGATTGATCTGCGATCTGTGGTAATAGTGCGCCGGCTGGTTTAGAGATTCCACGCCAGTTCTCTATGCCATCATCACGTTTCGGAGAATTTGCAACCTAAGGTCTAGGGGTGTTTAAGAAAAAATTTTTCACAAGCAGATTCATAAAACTGACGAGATCTCCCCGTCTTTACTTTG